TTTATTACTACTGACTTAAGTCTGCTTCTTTTGTTGCTTCTTTTTTGTGCCTTTGTTCTCAAAATATCTTTAATATATTGCATTTAACTGCTTACACAGAGTAAATCATCTTCTAAAGCATTCAGTATTCCGCAAGTCTGTATGTTTTCCTCAACATCAGCGTTGCTCTGATTTAACTGTTTCGTTTTGTTTTGGCTTTGATTATCCTAGGGTCCGATTGGTATGGATGGAAAGCTGGTAGGTGATTTGTTCAAAACCAGTGTAATTTAGGTCATGCACATGTTCTCCCTTTCCCCTTTGAATTGCTCATGCTGAAACATACATTAATCACATGTTGGCTTACTTTGGCATACCTTATTTCAACCTCAGTAATGTAGACTTAAGATAGAGTGCTGAACAGCCACTTCAGTCTTATTTGTCCATCCAAGGAAATGGAGATGAGCCATGCTATCCTTATTTCTTTATCATTTGGTGTCTGGGTTAGACTGGAGGATGGATGTTCCTGGTGAGGTGCCCTTTCCAGAGAACTTTCCACAAGGGTAGTTCAGTGGTGCCTTTCAGTCCTTACCAAGATTTTCTTTCTGCCAACATATCTGTGGCTGTTGCTGGTTTCCTTTTTCCCCAGATTCTTCCTTTTTCCATTTTTGTTTCTCAGCCTTTTTTTTTTTGATTATATCTGAACAGCTCCATGTTTCATTTTTAAATGTATTTGTATGCTATCCCAGATATTCTCTAGGGACATGGTATCTAAATTCAGTTAGAAATAACCTTCAATTTTGTAGAATGCGTTCTACTGAGTTGCTAACAAAATTTCCTATGTGTGAGCTTCTGTAAGTGAAACACTATGTACATAGATATGTTTGTGTGCATATAGATTTGTATGTATAAATATGACTTGAACATATGATCCTGGACCAGCTATTTAAAGATTAAAATCATCCAAAATGTGTGAAAGTCTGGTTTCTGCACTTTCTCATATTATTGTTTTCATTCCCTCTCTCTCTCTCTCTGTCCCTTTCCAAGAGAGCACTTCTTTCCTTTAATGCCCAGAATACATCTTTCTTTCTTGTCCTTTTGTTTGACACAAGCCTTATTCTCTTTGCAAGCTCAACTTTTTAACTTTTGGTGTCAGCTTCCAATTTTCTTCAGATTTCCTCCTCTGCTCCCAAGGTCTCTTTCTACTGCTAAGTAACCTTCCTGCAATGTTTGCAGCTTCCGATCAATAGGCTTTTTCTTTAATCACTCTATCTAGCAGACCGATAGTTTAGCTACTGACTTCAGTGCTAGACCTGCCTGCATCTTATATCTTTATCTTCTCCTTTCAGTATGCCTTGCATATCAGCAGCTTATATTAGGTTAAATTGCAAGACAGGGATTAATTATCAACCATACAAGATCTTTGATTAAAATGATTAGAATTGGCTGCCAAACATAATTCCTTTTTTCCTGCAAAATAATGTATTAAGTCAGAAATAGGAAAATAGAAAGGAAAAGTGTTCTGAAGATTCTGCTGAAACCGTGAAATATTATGCATTACTACCCATTGTAGTAATGGATGTTAAAAAAAAAAAAAAAAAAGCAACAATTGATAGTGAAGTGAATGATCGAGCGCGTGAGCAATGATACAGGCGTTCAAAGCAGCAGCCACTAGTATACAGAGTGGTTGGTTATTGGTGTTGGGAGTGAGCTGTAAATGCATGGAGAGGACAGCAGTCTGTTGATAGGTACAAGACAGTAAATGAAAGCCATTAAAAAGAACAAATGAAAATACATTAAAGTTTCATATCCAAATTGAGGAATATGAAATACATACCATCCAGAGAACTGTCCATGTTCATTTCAAGGCTTCATTTGGGGACGATGGATTGCTTTCCGGTGTCTTCTTGCCTGTTGCCTGTTTCTTTCTGATGCTTCCTACCACAAACTCAGACAAAACAGAGCACCACTTATATTTTCTCATTTCAAATGCTCATATTTTTAAGACCAGGTGATCTTTTCCTGTGCATTCCTGACTTCTGTTTACTTACTCTGTTACTAAGAAGACTTTCTTTTCCTGTTAGCACTGCAGAGACACTACATCTATGGGACAAGAGGATTAATTCTTATTGGACCCTCTGCTCAGAACAATCACTTACTATTGGTGGTACTGAAAAGCACTGGGATCCCAGATGGATTTTTAAAACCCAGGCTGACTCTACAGAGCAGACAAAAAAATACCTTCAGAGTATTAATTTGAGCAAGGTTAATCTGATGATCATTGAGATCGAGTTAATATGAAGCTTTACAAGTTCTTTCACTCAGTGCTGACTATATTTTAATCATCTAAGTTAGAAATTACATAAATTAAAGAAGTTACCTTTTACAAAAATATTTAAGGCTAGACTATACTCTGAACCACATCAATAGAAAGCCAGTATAACTTAATTGAATTCTAGAACAGAATTTCCACCCCTCTGTTAAAGTTGTCCCCTTCCAGAAGGCAGTCAATATATCAATTTTACAGTACAATTTAAATAAAAGGATATTCATTAATATTTTAAAATTAGTTATGGTAACTTTTTTAGTCTGGAAGAGTATTTTCAGCTTGGTTTTTATCTAAAATTAAGATAAATATTTCCAGGTAAAACCTTTAATGCATGAGTAATAACCGTTAAGAATAATTTAAGTAAATATTGAGCTATAGTGATTTCAGCAATCCTCGTGGGAATATAAGCATAGTGATTGAGATTGAGCTTCCTCAAAAGAGTTGCAGTATTAATTATATTCACATTAGAGGTTTTTTTATTTTAATGAAAGCAACAGTACCTCATTGCGAACTGTTTATTCTTGCCCTTACACAACACAGGCTAATGGGAGACAGAGCAATGAACTGCCCTGTCTTTGTCTCTCATGCTCTGAATTGTTGTACTTGTTGCAACACAAATGATAACAACACCTTGCAAGGAAAAAGGACAATATTTTGATGCCTCTTTCTACCTATACCTTTGTAAGCAGAACTGACTAGTTGCAGAATATAGTGCTTGCTGCAGCCTCTGTTTAGTATCATGTCTGATCAGTGGAACATCACTGTGAGGGAAAAATTATACTGTAACTGCAGTTGCTAGTTAGTAGGACAAGGAGTATCGAAGGATATACAGAAATATTGAAGGACTGAGAGCAATTGAAAACCAGAAAATAATTATTTTCTCTAATGCAAAGCTCCTTCTGTGTTTAAGGAGCTCATAGCCAGCAGGATCAACCCTGCTATGGGTACTTTTGAATTTGGCATCTGCATTTACAGTTCAATGGTGGGTAATTGCATGATTCACAACCTGCATATATGAAGAGTAATTCTACTCTTATATTCCTCACAGAATATATCTCACAGAGTTATCTCACAGACTTCTATGTCACCATGAAAAACAATCGTCCTATGAAAAAAAAATCAGTTTCCAGCTCTCCTGTGTCCTTATCACAGAAATGATATAAGAGTAATTTGCATGTATGATAACAGAAAGGCAGACTGGTGGTGCCATTGAGATCAAGAATAGAAAACACTTTCATGGGAACATGACCTTATCCTTGACCTTTAGGCTGGGGTATGTTTAGGTTATGTGTGAATGTCCCTTATATTATACACAGCATGAACTACATGGACACTGAGTAGCCCGTACATCTAAGTTAGAGTTAAGAAAGAAGCGTCGGCATTCAAATCTTTCTGTTTAAAAGTTTTTTTTCTGTTTGTATATTTTATTGCTTTAAGTCAACATCCTGTTTGAAGATTTTGGTAATTTTAGAATTGTATTTAAATTTTTATATACCTTGAAGAAATCTTTCATGAGTTTGTAAAAAGGTATTGTGACTTTAGATTGTGAATTTGTATATTAAAGTTTGCATATATAGGTGTCAATTTAGTTAATTTAAATATATATATTTATTATACAAATTGCTTAATACTGTATCAGTAAGCAATTCCTAATGATTTTAGGATCAGGTGCAGCATATCATGCCTTAAAACCTGATATGACAGGCAAAGTGAAGTGAAGGCTGCGTGCTGAGTCATCTCAGTTATCATTTTTAACCTAGTCTGGTGTATAAATTCGTTGAGTTGACCAATTCAGAAAGCTTTATTTTTTTGGGGGGGGGGCTGGGGGTAGGGTCTGAAAACCTGTGTAGTGCAATATTGTTTAATGAGCAAATACAAAACTGCATCTGTAACAAGGAATGCTTTAGGCCTTTTTCAGCATAAGGCCTGGATAGCCCCAATAATTATCAGTTTATATTGTGATTCCTCTGTGATGTTATTTCTAATATTTCTATTTCAAAGCAGTTTTTAAAAACTTGCATATAAATTAAATGTATATTTTGCCTTTTTTAATTTAACACACAAAAAAATCTCAATTTTTAACAAAAAGTAATGTTCTTCAGCTGGTTTTCTTAAAGATAGTAGTTCTCTGTTGAAATGCTTCATTTTTTAATTCTCTTTAAAACTGTAGATAGAAACAATTAGTTCAAAGCCAGTCAGGTTGCTTGGAGGCTATATAAAATTTTCAACTCTGTCTAGCAGTACCTTCTAGTTAAAGTGAAGAGGTTTTACATGATTTAAAGGAAGTCTTTATGCTTAGTTTAGCATCTCCTTGAATTATGAGGGTGAGCCACAATAGAGGAAAAGTACCCAATATCTACTTCTAATATCTGTGAATTCTTTCTCACTTGAGAATGTTAAATCAGGCCTTTCCATTATTTCTAAATTGTATTGGTCTGTCTATTAAACATATTAAGTTTCTCAAATACAGGTTCAAGAATGTTTGTTGTGATTTTTTTCTTGAACCCCAGTTAATTCCAATGAAGTTAATTGTTTTTAATTCAAATTGATTATAGAGGTAAGAGACCAGAATCTAACTTCATTACAGTTACTAGATTGTTTGTTATTTCCTTATGAGAGAGCACTACTTGCTGCTGTTTAAGCAATTAATCCGTGCCATAATTTTCCATAACCTTATCTTTTTCTTATTTTTCAGGGTCAACCTGGTCCTCAAGTAAGTGCCAGCTCATTTTTACTACAAAAGTTGAAGCTGTATACGTGGCCCATGCAACTCAGATTATTTACAAAGTATTTTGATGGTCTTTTTTGATCCGACTGTAAGAAGTTAGAAACTGGTAACCATTGCATTTTTCAGTAAGCCAAGTATTTCCCAAGAGAGAAACATGGGGCTCCCATATGGTTGTCTGAGTTCCCTCAGCTGTTTGACCAGATGGTGGGGTTAACAACATAATACTGAATAAAGCAAATCTCCTAACTATGGCTTGAAACTTTGCCACTTAACTTTAAAGCAAGATAAAATAACTTAGCAAATGTGTAGCAAATGTAACACTTCAACTGCTTATTAATCACATACTAATAATGTTGCTATAATCCAGGCAGGCCTCAGTTATTTTAAATATTGCACTGCTAGCTATTTTGATTAATTATATACACTCCTTGAATTAGTTCTGCTTTAAGAACAGCAGAAGTCTTTGTTGTGCAAGCTGCAATTAAAGACGTGGAAATCCAGGCATCTCACTTAAATTTTAAATTAGTAGTAAACTAGCAAAGAGGGAAGTATTTGATATAGCAAAAGTCATATGTGAAGTATTCGATTCAATAGAAATGTGGAGGAGCAAGGGAAGAGGAAGAATAGTAGCTAATACTCAATCCAACTTCAGTGAAAAACAGTTGAAAGACTATAGCGTTTGCATACCAGAGATGTATTATGAGAGGTAAGCTCTGGCTTGGGGGACCATTTTAGCAAAGAGAGTTGCCTGAACCAAAATTTCTGTGTGGGCTATTGTTAGTATTTCAGAATCATAATTACAAATCAAAGCTTTACAGACCTTAATTAACAGGGTTTTTTTTTTTTGACAGTTTTCTCTACAGAAAGGAAGCATTTTCCTCAGATTATTTGATTCAAAGCATCAATTTCCGTTGAAAGGCAATTTTAGTGTTACAAGCCCTCTGCCCACTCAGTTTGTATGCCTCGTATCCCTGCTGTAACGCTTTCTGACACCCTCCCTGCGAGGTGCCAGACTGTGTTTAACTGTATTATATGAGTAGTCCAAATGATATTTGAAATGACCACCCCCGCATAGTACTCATGTTTCACAGTAGGCTGTTGATGTGTGTCCTACACAGAGAGAAATATCTGCAGTTTCTCTGTTATTGGGCGTCAGTGAAGAGACAAACTGAACTTTTCTGGGGTACTCTTGCTCTGAACAAGCTCTGCAGAGATGCTGAGGGTGCTATGTGAGCCTATGGTCAGCCCTATAGTTGATGTTGACTTGTGCTGCCACCTGTGTCCTTTCTGTCTGCATTTGGAAGCCCACCTCCCACATTTCAGTCCCTTGGAGAGTGTCGCTTGCTTAATCCAACAGTTTCTCAGTCTCTGAAGCTTATATCCTCTACATGAAATGAACTGAGGTAGCTGTAGGCAAGCTGAGGTGGTAGTCCTCGGTGATAACGGTTTTAAGAGCAGAAAGGCAGAGAAATGTTGTCACCATTGTAGGAGAACTGGAGTGCAAAACATAAGAGAAACCCTCTAAAAATCCAAAGGAAACTTTATCACCTTCTATGTGCCCTGGATGACTATACAGCAAATGGTTACAAAGCAGCAGAACTATGTACCCACAAAATTTAGGATGGGACTTCCTACGTCCTAAATTCAGTAGTTCCTCCTAGTGGAAATCCTCCTCTCTGCCATTTTCGTTGTTTCATTGTTCTTCATTCTAAGTACTGCTTACCATTATTCTTAGTGCTAACTTTTCCTCCTTTTTAACTCAGAGTGCTCTTTTTGTCGTAGCAGGATGTGTACTCAGTTAGTTGTCCTGGCTAGCTGATTGAGTCTAGAAATAATTTCTGGAAAGACACAAATGAGGAAATCGTGATGGCATGAGCCACTCAGAGAAGAATTCAGCTCTGGGCTAAGATGCCTCAACCTCTAGAGGTTTGTGTGTAGGTGTAGACATCTGAGGTGTCTAAGCACTCCTTGTAGTCAGTGAAGGTCAAGTCAATACTCAGTGCACCTAGAAAGCTTTTCAGCGCACTGTAGTCCCATTGGGCTCAATTACATTGCCATCTGAGATAATCCAGGGCCTAGCCTCTAGCTGCTGCTTGTACAAGGGTTTGAGTCTCCTGTTGGTCCATTGTTGTATCTGTCAGTTATGTGCAGCTGTCTTGGATACACAGGGAACCTCTCAAATGACACTAATTGTATGCAATCACGCAACTATGAATTGCAGATCCTGAATACCGGCATCTATTAAACCTAATAAATAACCAGTCTGCTGAACTGCTCTTTAGGCTATATTGACATCTGCATATCTTACACATCTGCGTGTAGGCTGTGCTTTTAGAAGTCTTCATGTTGAACTGAAACCCCAATACAGATAACTTCCACAGGACAGCATTTTGGAATGTTTTCTTGAAAGGTTTTGTTGAAAACCTAAAGGTGTTTTGACTTCTTGTTCTTTAGAGATTTTTAAAGTATTAACAGAAAACAAAAACTGTTCACATACAGATAAAATAAGTCAAAAATCCCAGTTTCCCATTACAGAAATGTTTGTGGAAATTTCAGCCAGCCATGATAGTAAGTAATTTTCCCAGTCTTAACTATGAAAATATGAAATGACAAATAGTGGTTGATTTGGCTAAAGTAACAACTTCACGGCTTCAAAGAATAGAATTTCTATGCTGACTAAAGAAGCACTTAGAAAGTTTCTGATGTCACAGCCATGTAAGTCTATGCTAAGATCAAAGCTGATTTATAATCCTTTTTAAACTTGGTCTTCTATTGACACCTATTCTTTTTTGCAATGATATTCACAAAGTACATTCTAACTTCACTCAACATGTATATAATTACTGCGTACAAATATATTCATAACAGATCAGTAATCCCTCCTATCTTCTTATCTTTGAATGTATTGATCCTTTTCTTCAAAAATACAAATGAAAGATAATTTCATTTTATGTTTATTATTTTAAGTAAAAAGAACCTTTATTACACAACCATGTTCTTTCTGACATTCATGCTATTTGCTATTCATATTTGACGCTCATTTGATATTTGAATTCTTCTATTTGTGGTTCTACTATATATCTGAGAGTGGAAAACATGATCAAAACTATAAAATTTCTAGCATAACCTTTAAAAAGTAAAGTTCATATAAATATTAGAAAACGGTGCATTTAGTATTGTAGTGAAGGAAGACAAAATGCTCCTTTAGGAAATCCTGCTTCAGTAAAACTGCTAACAGCATGTAAGATAAGTTTTGGAGCAGGGGTTCAGTGCAACTTTGTCTCAGCCTAGCAACTATTTTCTTCCATGTGGTACTATCGTCTTCCTGGCCTATCTCTGTCACAACATAATTTCTTCCTCGTGTCAGCATACGCGATCACTCTTTCTGTGGGGCTTTGAGATATAACAGCCCTACAGATGCCTCTCCTTTCTCCTTGGCAACCATTCAAATCTGCATTAGAAGTGGATGATATTGACAGTTGATACTTATTTTCATGAGACTCTTATTTTCCTGCATGTGAAATGTCTGTGGAAGTAATGTTATTTCAGTGTGAAGTTTTCTGATGTTGTGTACATGATAAAGGGTTGCCATGGCAATTTTGGTAGCAAATATTTGCATGTGTCATATTAAACTTCAAGCCTCAAGGTATGTGATGAATATTTCTAAACTTTAATGGCAAAGATTGTGATTCACAGTTGGATGGACTAATACTGGCTTCTACTGTCAACAGAGTTGGTGGGAACCATTTTAACTTTCATTTTCTGTACATACCCCCTTATAGCACTGTTTTTTGTCAAGACAAGAGAAAAACAGACAGCAGGAAATAGGCCATAGTTTTATTCTTTTTTGGAAGGAGGCAGTGTGTTTAAAAGATCTGTTTATCACTTCTTAAAGAACACTCTGACAGAGGTTAGAATTCTAGACCTTAGAGAAGATGCGAGTATCTGAGAGCATGACTGGAAGGTGGTTGTTTAAGAAGCTTTTTTGTTTTTTGTTTTTTTTTTAAAGTCTTGTTGAGTTTCCCCTGGAGTTCTCACAGTTTGGATAGCTATCTGCACTCCAGGACTTCTAAAGTATTCCTTTCAGTAAATACATGTCATTCAGTAATGAGAGGCTTACTATGGTCAAGTGATTCTGCATAAGTTTTGATGATCTTTTAGGCTGTGGTCAGAGTACACGATACATCCTGTTGTCTAATGCTGTATATACATGATCAAGACTTGATAGGAAGTAGGCTGGCTTGTCTGCCGCCATGCCAAAACAACAGAAAACTCATGCCTCAACAAAATCTGAAGTTATAAACGCAATGCCAGTAGAAAATTAAAGTCAAAATGATTTCTGCCTGTTAGGCCCTTAGTCTTGGACTTTTGTTCTGCTCACCATAAATTGAGGTGTAAGCCCTATGTCCTTGTTCCTGACAGTTTCCCTTTAGGTATGCCTAGAACCTGTCCTGTGTGAGTAGAGAGGGGAGGAAAGGGGCAAACTTATGAAGGATAGTATCAATAGAAGGCTAGAGAAATAATTCAGGATTATTCAATTCAGAAGAGTAGACCAATCTCAAAGCCTTTTTGCCTGTAGGTGTTTCGGTTGGACATAACTGCAGTTTTGCCTCTGCATCACCACCTTGAGATCCTCAGTGTTGTACAGCTGCTGCGCCTGAGAGAAGCGAAGTGCTCCCATCCAGGCCATCAGCTGTTCTCACCCCAAAGAGTGATCTCATGGGATGTTTTTCTTGTAGCAGCTGGTGCCCTAAGCTCCTTTGTAAACTCCTGTTCCTGCCGAAGGAGAGAATGACTCAGGTTAGATATGAATATGCCTGTCTGCTGTTTGAGTTATGTGTTGCAGGTCAAATTTAGCTGTCAAACTCTAATGACTTGGTTGTTAGTAAAGAATATGTACAGTCACTCAGGTTTTGGTCTTCTAGGCAGATAAGGAATGATGTTGTCTTTGTAATATACATGTGTGTATGTGTTTAGGATGACGC